CAGACACAGACACAGACACACACACACACACACACACACACACACACACACACACACACACACACACACACACACACAGAGAGAGTCGTGCGCGCCACAGGGTGCGGCCATACGCGAAGGAACGCGTCCGACAAACCCTAATGCCCGTGCCAAGAAACGGGCCGAAGTAACGGACAAAGGCAGAAAGGCGGTAGGACAGACCTACGGGCCCAACCCGATGAGAAATCTGTGATCTGGGCCATCGGGCCCTACCGGACCAACGGCCTGGATTTGGGCACGGTCTTAAGATCTCACGATCGCGTCCATCCAGACCGTCGATCCCATAGGGCCAAACGGCCCATATCACCGATTTGTTACATTCTTTCAAAAGATCACGTCCATCCAGGCCGTCCATCGGGTAAGGCCTGACTGCCCAGATCACAGATTTGTTACATTCTTTCACCGATCTGGGCCGTGCGCCGGTAGGACCAACGACGGCCCGGATTTCATTTTGGCGACGCTAGCGATTTTAATAGCGTAGGGATGACTGCAGGCACCCAGGCGGATATCTGTAGCAGCAGCAACAATGATGAAGAAGAAGAAAGCGGAAACAGACAACGTTTCTGGTTGTGTTGTCCAACTGGCACAACACATTGTTGCATGTCACACAGACCTGTAAACAGGCTGATGTGCATGCAAGGTGCCGTCAAGAGAATGTCGAGGTTGGGGAACCTGTCGAAGAGTATAATGAAGAGAAGCAAGTTCACCTAATCAACGTTGTCATCAGTAAGGAGGCTGTAAAGAATATGGTGGGGATTGGGCAACGATTTCGTACAGAACTACCTTTCCAGGGAGGCCATCAAACAGTTGCACCCGGGAATGAAGGTGCAGAACCTTCCTACCGTAATGGAGGTAATTGCCGCAAGCGGGGATGCAATCTGCATTTCCCAGTTTGAAAGAGACAACCCCATAACGTTTGATGAGGAAAGCAGGCTGAAACAGGCAATCTCGTTTTTCTATATTTTGGATCACCTACCTCTCGAGATGGGGCTAGGCCGTGACAACTCACAGTTTGAGATGCAGCAATTTTCTGCACCATTCAGAAGGTCCAACCCCCAGATGGAGGAGGTGGTCCATCAGGGCTATACAAAGGGACCTCCTAAGAACCAGTCCAGAAAATTTTGCATATCTTGTTCAACATCGCGGCAAAGGTTCTATGGTGCCTGGGCGATACAAGCAGAGATGCAGACCCTAATTGGCCAGAAAAAATGTGGCAGCTCGTAGAGGAGTACATCACAATCTGCAAGGGGAGTGGTGTCCACTGTCCAGAGAATTCAGCATATCTGCACCAGGGTTGTTCAACTACATCAGACGACATCGCAGACAGGGGCTCTACCGTGTCTGGGTGATATAAGCAGAGATGCAGACCCTAATGGACCAGAAAAAATTTGGCAGCTCCTAGCGGAGTACATCAATCTGCAAGCCCGCTGAGCTCACAGAGGAGGGATGGATTATGCCCAACAGCTCTCCATACAGTGATCTAGTACTGTTCGTCGGAACTTTGTTCCGAATACAATGTACGGTCATTATCGCTGTATTTAAGGTTTAAACAGAAAGGTACCCCAAATACAGATATAATTACCGTATGTTGTATTCAGGTGAAAAAGGTAGTACTGTTTGTCCCGATGAAGAATCATGGCATCTATATGCGCATCGACTATTGCATGCTGAACAACATCAATGTCATGGACGTCTAGTTGTTGTCGTGTATAGATGACTTGCTGGATCGATTGCAAAGATCATCGCCAAGAAGAGAGGGTTCGGCAAAGAAGAGATCCTCTACTTGGGCATGTCATAGGAGCTGATGGCATGAGAGTCATGATGAGACCTGAGGCTAAGAAGGTTGCAGCAGTCACATACTGGCCAAGAACTGGGAAAGTCAAAGAGGTACGGTCATTCCTTGGTATGCTGAACTTTTTTTTTTTTAACAGTCCCTCCAGTGCTAGCGGTGCTGTTTAGAGCAGGCATCACTAGCACCCGGGGAGAGGCTCCATCTATTGGCGGGGAGCGTCACCTGCTGGAAAACGGGTCCAGCGTCCCTTTGGTATGCGGAACTACCACGAGGAGGTCATCAAAGGTTGTGCCACGGGTAGCCACGTCATTGACAAGTCTGACTAGGAAGTAGAGCCCATTTGTGTGAACTAGGGAGTGTGAGGTCTTTTAGACACTTCAAAGACCACCTCACTAACTATCTTCCCTGAGGATTCCAGATCCAGCAATGCCCTTTGAGCTGATAACGAATGCCAGCGAGTATGGAACTGGAGCACTGCTGCAGCGGGAGATGGATATGGGATCAGTATCATGCCCTCGAAGAGGGTCGGCACTACTGTCTTTCCCCGAATAGAACACTGTCATTGTAGCTGGATTTGGGCCATCTTTACGTTCGTTATAGCTGGATTTCAGCCACCTTTACGGTCGTTATAGCAGGATTTGGGCCACCTTTACGGTCGTTATAGCTGAATTTGGGTCACCTTTTAGTCCAGAAACAGCTATAGCAATCATTCATTGTATTCGGCCGAAGACGGTAGTACCTAGAGAGACAGTTCTATGCCGGCACCATGCACTTGTACCTGGAGGCATCACGTGCTGTGCAGGTCCTTCAAGCTATGCAGCAAGGTCGTTGAGGGAGTCGGACTGAACCCAGGATCTGCCCAAACTGTTAGTCTTTCTGCTTTCTGTTATTTTTGTCGCAGCTGAGATTCGAACCTAGGACCTGGGAGGTAGAGTCTCCATTTTGAATTTTCAGACCTTTCAGACTCGCAAATCTAAGAAGTAGTAAGAACTTTTGAGGCAGACAGACCAGTCAGGCCTTAGGGGAAATCGTAGCCCGTCAACAGCACGAACAGGTCTATCACTTCAGTTTTCATTTGCGAAACGACCAGTACCTCTCCCAGGCAATCTCCACCACAGGATTTCCGGATGAACAGTGCTATTGAACCAGTACCTCTCCCAGGCACCTGCCGAAACAAAAACAAAAATGAAAACATGCTTGTGGCAGCTCTTTTCTTTTGGCGTGCAGTGGAAATTCACCACAGGAATGAAAAGATGCTGAGAGTTCGTCGTTGAAACCACCAGTACCTCAGGGGGTCCTAGGCCCCCTCTGACGCGAATGAATATAGATAGACCCGCACAGTCCACCGATTCATCCACCGCGTTAACGCCTAAAAACGCAGTAGGTACTGGGTGGTTTAAGTTTCCAGCTGGTGAAGAAGTTGAGCAGTACTAATACAGAATTAGCAAACAGGGAAGTTGGGTATCTATTTGGCTGGCGGCCAGCCAAATAGGAAAAAATTCTGGATCGCCGTTTTGCAACTTTTTTGTTTTTCTTTTGACTCACAGCACAAATCCACCTCAGGAAAAAGAGACTCAGATGTAGTTGTCGTTTAAGAGAAATGTCTTTGTGAAGGCCTTTTAAGGGGTTCACGATGAAGGATAGCAAGATTCATCGCATGCAAAAGGAGCGATGTAGGCAGAGTGGGAGGGTCTTCCCCTTTCTGGGTCAGAAGGGATAGTAAATTAGTAATGTTTGCGTAAGCCAAGCTTTCGATTGTGGGTTGGGTGGGAAGGATACAGGGCCATGGGCCATGGGTTAAACCACCAGTACATGCCAGCCATCGGCCGCGGGCCCCTTTCAGAGGTCGCCTGCCGTCCATTTATTTCATCGACGGTGCGTGAGCCTCCTAAATTTTAGGAGAGGCTCAATTGGACTCTCAACTTGGCTGGGGCCATGTACTGTGGTGCTTTAAAGCACCAGTACACCACATATCGGCCCGCGGGTGTCAGCATGAAACCCACACCACTTCAGAGGCCGCCAATTTTTTTTCAACGGCGGGCCTGGCCGCGCGGCCCCTCCAAGTTTTGCTTGTGGCGACAAAACTTTCTGCAACGCTCGGGCCGTGTACCACCCACGGTTTAAGGAGTTGTTTAGGACTAGCATGGAAAGGTTGTGTGTTGTCATGTTTGTTATGCACAACTCCAAAACAAAAGCATGACTGTACCCGACTATTTCGTCGGACTTTCACCGACTTATCAGGAGGTTGAACGCCGACAGCCTTCCCAGGATGCATTTGACTGGTGGATAATAAGGAGTATTAAGGACTCGCCACGTCGCCCAGAGTTAGCAAGCAAGTAATCCTAGCAGACTGTCAGTCCAAACCCCTGACGAGAATGGCACTAAGTCTGAGAAAGTAGAGCAAGCATTCATGTGTGTGTGAAAAAGAGAGAGGGAGAGGGAGAGAAAGGGAGAGGCTTGAGTCTCTCACGAACAAATTCGATACAGCCAAACTGGGGAAGCCGAGGAAGAGAGCGTGAGGCAGACAGACATGACTAAATACGGACTTCTTGCCCACACAAGGATTCCAGCAGCACAAGTGCATTTATGACTTGAGAAAAATGAACTCAGGTGCACTCAAGAACAAACATGCTGAACAGTGCTCCCAAGAACGAATACATTTAACAGGGTTGAAACTTGGAAATGGTGGGTATAGATAACCATGGTTACCTGACAGTTTAGGCCCAAACAGCCCTGAACAGAACCACCATTGGCGCATAAGGGTTCACAAATTCAGAAGGTAAACGGCAACTGCACAACATACAGGGATGCAGGATTTCCAAAAGTGACCTGGAAAATGTGCAGTATTTCAGTGCCCCGAGGTCAAGGGTTCAAGTCCTGGCACATTTACAAGACGGGAAGGGGAGGACCACTTCCAGCCCTCCCTATGGTTTGTTGGGAAAGCTGTGGGAAAGACCAGCAACTAACCTGCTCCTTTGCTCGCCTCAGCAACTCTTCCTCCTTTTCATCCTGCATCATATCAGTAATCAAACATGCGAAGGGGATTGTATTACCACAGGCCCACAGGGTCATAAAATCAGAATCGAAAACACCAAGTGCGAAGAACGAACAAACGCACCCAGATACCGAAACTGTAAGGAGTTAGGCTAGAACCTCAGCCTGACCCTGCAGCTATACTCTCAGGGTCAGGCACTGTTGGTGCTATGTCTGTGGTAAGGAAGCATGCGCCTGACGATAACAAAGGAAGAGCAGGCAAGGGAGAGATGGGAGAGCTTGCAAAAGGTAGGAAGAGCTACCTTCTTCCCCCGAACATAGGGTGTGTTCTATTCGAATACAACGCATAGGTTGTGTTCTATTCGAATACAACGCATAGGATGTGTTCTATTCGAGTAGCCCTAAATTCCGAATACAATGCGTATGCGTTCTATTCGATTTTTTTGCAAATTTGACAAAGCTCGAATACAACGCATATGCGTTATGTTCGGGGGAAGAAGGTAGCTATTAGGAGTTTTCAAGAGGGAAGGGGTTTTGACCTAAGTTAGTTATCTAATGGTATCATCCAGGGTAGAGGTACAAATCAGGCTGTAGCATGCAAGGTATCATCAAAGCGTCAGAAACATAGGGTCCTCCTCAAAGTTTTGAATTCTCAAGGCACCCTCTAAGGTTCAATCTCTGTTCAGATGTCATTGGAAACTGTTGAAGGAATCTGATTCATCTGGGAATGCACAAACACGAATCATTTGAATTCCCCCTCACATTCCGAACTTCAAATTTTCAAATTGTTTGAAAGGGAAAAGGAAATAGTACCTCACTAGAAACAGGTCGGAGGCTTCTACCTCAGGCTACTGTCTTCACCCGAATACATCATACGGTCATAATTGCTGTGTCTAGACTCAAAAGTTGCCCCAAATACATCTCGAATGACCGGGCGTTCTATTCCGGTGAAGACGGTATAAGTGCGTAAACTTCCATCATCATCAATAATAAAGGGAATAGTATTTTCTCTTGTGCTTTGTCTATATCCCAAAAAAAGAAAAAAAAAGAAAAAAAGAAAAAGAAACGAAGAAGAAGAAGAAAGGGAAAAAGGAAAAGGACCTAGTCTGCAGTTCTAATACTTAACGAGTTGGAGCCGAGGAGCCAAGTCTGCAGTCCTAATATTTAATGAGAATCTGGCAGTCAAGGTACTGAGAGGAACAGGTTAGACCAGGCCTTTCTAAGCAAGTCTATAGGGGCCACAACACTGGGGTTCGTTCAGGGGGACAGGGGTGAGGGGTGGTACATCCTTCCGATGAGAAGTAATCAATGTCGTTCCTCGGGCTTTCCTACCGTAAAGGGGAAGAGTGTGTGTGAGTCCTATATGTACTTCTTTTTGACTTGCTGGGGAAATAGGAACCGGACTGATGCGCGAGCAATCGCACCAGCGCCGTTCGGTAAGCGCCACCCGTCTAACGCACCGGTGCGCTATTTTGCACTACTGGGGAACATCGAGGGCCTAGCCCACGGGAACCCGCCCGCCCGCCCGCGCGCATCGCTCCGTCCATTCCCGCCCACCCACGGTCCCAAAGCCGCCCTCAAATTTCGAAGGGGACGCCCAAGTCAGCCATCGCCAGCACTCCTCCCACCGAGGAGGAGCCATCCCCAACCTTCCTCTCCGCCCACATGAGCGCCATCACGGAGGTGTAAAGACACGCCCAGGTCAAGAGGAAGGCCGCTAGCATCATCAAGGTGCAATCGATCGTCGTCCCGATCGTGGAGCCGCCGACAAACCGGGAAGCCCGCCAGCCAACACCCCAGGAGGAGAAGCAACCTCCAAAAAACGCAGCCATTGGAGACGTCAACACGTGTCACCAACAGGACACAGAACGGAGGGCAGCAGGGACCAGCTGCCAGTCAGGACGGAGTCCCCTCGACACGATTCGACGGGTCAGCAACAAGCCATGTAGGAGAAGCAACGGAGAAAAGCGCGAATGGTTATAACCGAGAGAAGGTTAACAACAGTCGTATTTTTCATCACCACTTCAGGACACCCTTCACCACTTCAGGATGCAGCCTGCCTAAACAGGTGGTTTTCAGGGTCTTTGGACCTTTCACCACTTCAAGATCATTCAGGTCTGAAAATCCTGAATGGTCCTGAAGTGGTGAAAGTTCCTAAGACCCTGAAAACCACCTGTTTAGGGAGGCTGCATCCTCAAGTGGTGAAGGGTGGTTTTCATGGTCTTTGGACCTTTCACCACTTCGGGACCATTCAGGATTTTCAGACTGCCCAAAACTCTCACTTGACCACTTCAGGACACCCTTCACCACTTCAGGATGCAGCCTGCCTAAACAGGTGGTTTTCAGGGTCTTCGGACCTTTCACCACATCAGAACCATTCAGGATTTTCAGACTGCCCAGAACTCTCACTTCAAAATTTTCATTCCTGAATTTTCAGCTACCCAATAACCGCTTGTGTTATAACCCCCCCCAATCTTTCCCCCCCGCCCTCGCTTACTAACATTCTCCCTACCCAACGCATCTCACCCCTCGCAGCCAACAACAGTGTCCACTCCTATTCAGCCCGAAGTCCCGATTAGCAACCCAAGCTCACCCCGCCCAATGCAGAGCGAGCGATAACCTCAAACGCGCGGAAAAAGAGTCCAAAAAAAAAAAAAAAAAAAAAGCAAGCAAACAAACAAACAAACAGTACAAAACGAAATAGTGGCCCGCATCCTGCCTTTCCTCTCTCCTCCTCCCTCCCGCTTTCGAAGACAAGCTCCTCCTCTCATTCATTCTCCACCCTCCTCCTCCCTCTCAACTCCAAGATTGGATCCTTCCTCTTCGCCTGCCCAACCCCAACCCCTCCCCGCCCCCCTCAACGCGCCTTCAACTCGCCTCCGATAACCGGCCCTCCTACATCCCTTACCCTCCCATCCCTTAGTCCTCCTACGCGGCTCTCTCCACCCAAATGCCCGCGCTCTACTGAACTGAAAAAGTTGAGGCAGAATATGTTAGTAGAGGTGGAAGAAATAAAGGAATCGGGTTCGTCAACGACTCAGACTACAACGGCTCGGTCTTCGACGATAACATCCCAGACCCCAAATGGATTTGGACCTATACTAAAACCACCCCGACGATCAAACAGCCAGACATCTTCCCTCCCTCGGACAACAAATGGCACCATGTGGGGGCAAAGAAGATTACCGGAATCCCAGGGAAAATCCACTCCGACCCGGTGATCGACTCTCGAGTGATCAAGGAAGAAAAGAGGCATGAGGACTTGATGTGGGAACTGGAATCGATCAGACAGCAGACGGATGCCTCTCTCTCCAATCCAGAGGACTATGACAACATCCTGGACATAGCCAAACAGATCATCGAGGGACGAAGCCCGCAGGCCGACCCCTCCCTCAAGAGACAGGCCTCACCTGTAACGAGCTCAGGCTGAGGGAGACAGGGAGAGCCGAGGGAGAGGGGAGAGAGAGGGAGAGAGTGAGAGCACACACACACACTCACTCACTCGACATGACTGAGGGTCGGACACAGACACATTAGCAAGGACACAAAGTCGAAGTCTTGGATTCCGAATGCTGAAAACAGGAACAAGTCACACTGAGTACAAGTACAGCAGCTGAAACTGGTACGAGACTGGTTGCCCGTACTGTACGGGGAACCGGTATAAGTGTTGATGACACGTACGGTACCAGGGGGCATCTCTGCAAAAGCCCCGAGGGCAGAACTGAAAAATACGGTATTTGAAAGTGGCACCCGAATTGTAGCATGGCGCCAGTTGTCCAAAATCCGACGGTACCAAAGGAGGGGTTTGGAAAAAGGGTGCCAGGCTAAAAACGGGATGTAGGAAAAACAGCAACAAAAGAGACCAGGGGTCGAGCCCTGGCGGAGTCCGTAACACTATCCCCTCCCTTTGAAAGGCAACGTCCCGGCTGCCAAAAACCTAAGGAAACAAAAAGGAACTGTGAAGGACAAGACGGGGACGATCACTGGTCGGAAAAGGAGAAGGGGAGTGATGCAAGTCACAGGGTATTCTGTCAGATGTTCTGCACAGGTGAAGGTATGATGTAACTGGGTAGGTCTTCAAGGGAAGCTAAGAAATGTTAAGGGAACAGGGGATTTCTATTGATGTTCTACAGGGTAAGGGGAAACAATGTCCAAGAAAACAGGGAATTTATATTGATGTTCTAGTGGGTAAGGGGAACAATGGTCAGGGAAACAGGGAATTTCTATTGATGTTCTAGCGAGTAAGGGAAGCAATGGTCAGGGAAACAGGGAATTTCTATTGATGTTCTAGTGAGTAACGGAAACAATGGTTAGGGGAACAAGGATTTTCTAATGATGTTCTACAGGGTTCTCAGGAAAAATGAAAGTGTTTGTTCAGGATGCAGGGGCTGGTATGTCCGAAGGAGTGGGAAGCAAAATCTCATGTAGGAACAAAGTGTCCAAGTGTCTTGAAAGGGGATCTGCAGCGGTCTTGATCGGGTCTTGGAGTAGGTGGTAGAAGCGGTCCTCAGCGGCTGCGACAGGTAGAAGTCCAAGAAGCATAGCAGTAGTTCAAATGTCCAAAGTCCAAGTGCTAGGGTGCGTCCGGTACACGAACTGCAATGAGGTCTGATATGGAAGCAAGGAAGTCGCAGACTGATGCAAAGATCCATGTCACAAGTTGCTGCTCCAATAAGTCTGCGAGTCGGGATGTCGGCCGATGAAATAGCATGGTGGCCAAACCAGCTGCATAATCTCCATGATCAGTGAGGCAGCAGGCCATCGTCCTCGTGCGTTTGCCATTAGATCCTTTATCGTCGACGTCACGCAGGTCCACAAGCATTGGACAAGAGGGACAAGGTAGTGGAGAGGACATATGGGACAAGGCAAGGCGAGGGCAAGGGCAGATCAGACATCAGGAATCAGGGTCGAGGGGAGGGTGAGTTGGGTTCAAGCGTGTGTGTAGAGCAGGGTTGCGAGGTTGTAGCAGGGTTTTAAGCGAGGGTTTAGGGTTTATGTCGCGGTATAGTTAGGAT